CTCCAGCGAGATTTTAGAAAATACATTCTTTTATATAAATATGTAGTAATGTTTACAATTTCATGTTTTAGCCAGCGTTGCCCGCTATGAAACTCAAAAACTCCCGCAAGAATCAAGAAAAAATTTCAAAATCTCCCAAAAAAATCCAAAATGACTTTCAAATTCTCAAACAAGTCACGAAAATTTTTTCCGGGGGCTCAGCCTCCCCTAGCCGAAAATCCCGGTCCGCCACTGCTTCGACTACAGGTCTAATTTACCAGAGTGATTCAGCGTTTTTACTGTTTTATTGATATCATCAATTGAAACAATGTGAAGTAGAAGAAAACAGTGAGCTAAAATTCTCCACCCGCCAGTTTATAGTTTATGGGAAATATGTGAGTTCCACATTTTAGCCCCAATTGTAGTACGACAACAAGTTCTTTTAGTCACGGCCATGATCACGCCTATGAATAAGATTGTTTACTTTCCTTTTCCCACTTTTGTTATTCAAGTATTCTCGCTACGCGTGGCCTGCAATCTCATTTTGCAGATGTCTATCGAAAAACAAAACGAGCGAAATTACGATTTATTTTGCCCAACAATGGACCACAAGGATCAAAGAATTCCTTATCGATAATTCATATTTTCTTCAAACGATAAACATCAGTGTCTTGTGTTACTCGTTTTGAGTATATATGTGTCAATCTTGTTTTGATAGATAATTCTCAATCAAATGCAAGCAATAAAACTATTGAAAAAAAAGAATTTGTTTGGATAAAAATGTTAAATGAGGCGAAAAAATTCAAAGAAGAATTCCAAATAAGATTAATCAATGAAAATCAATTTAAATCATTAACAAAAGAGACATTACTAAATATATTATATGAGCGACGATGTCCTTATAAATATAATTTTACAAATGCTCAATCATTAAATGAATATTCTTTAATAGTAACAACTATTAAATGGAGTAATGAAGAAGAAAATTCTGATGAAATTCTTAAAGATCTTATTTATTTATTTGATTTTAGTCAAGTTCGTTTTTTTTTTATAAAAATCTTCTGTTAAAATTTTCTTTTCCTTCATTAGCTAACAATGGAACAAAAACAAAATGTTGAATTATCATTAAAAATTGATCAATCATATTTATATTCAATATTAAATAAATCAAAAATACTATCAAAAGAACTTATTAATAAATATCATTTATCTGATACTTGCCTATCATGGAGATTGTTTTATACTTCTCCAAAATTGTTTAATATATCGTCTCGATATGAATTCGAACAAACATTGCAGCCAATTATATATGTTTTAAAACAAAATTCTCTACATGAAAAAACATTAATTAACATTTCCATTGATGATACTATTACTTTAGTATTAGATATTTGTAAAGATGCTTTAAGTCTTCAGTCTCAGTTGGCTAATTCAAACGAATCAAAGACGACGTTTCAAATTCAACCAGGTAATTCATGCTATCAAAATGGATTTTTTACAAATTTCAAGGAGCTACCGATTAATTATGATAATATTGCAGCACCCACACACATGTTCACTTTAATAAAAGATAATCTGTAGTGTTTTCGGTAGAAAAATGAAGTGAAGCTTACGTTTTATTGATCACACTTTTAAAGGCGCATACACGTTCATGATTTAGGATGTCTCAGTAGTATTTATACACGTTTAGATAGCACGGTTCAAGTGTTAAAAAACCAAATCATTTTTATCGAATTTTTTGTGAAAAAAGCACTTATACCCTTCTGCTCTTTCAAAAACAACCTTTATTACTGTTTACTATTTCATCGCCGAATTCTCGAGAGTAAACCAATCAGATCTTTCCATGGCTCTAGAACAAAAATCTATATGTATCTATCTTTACATTCAATTCATTTGACTAAAAAAGAATCATTAAATTTATTTAATTTTCGTAAATAAAGCAAAACTTCTCTCTATTAAAGCGTATCCATTTGAATCCAACCTAAAAAAGCTTCTGTTTTCATCAAATAGATTTAATGGAAGTTTTGTCGTATTGGCCAGTCGCTTTCGAACGTGAAAATCGTATCAATATCATATGTGTAATTTTATTTCATTTTAGGCTTATTTAATGCTTATCTTGAATCAAAATTATATTCAATTCGAAGAAAGTTTCTTCTTGATATTGATTATTTTTTAACAATAAGTAAAGATCGAATTCAGATTTATCAAAATGATCCAAGAAATTCATTTATTGTTTTTATGTATGATGTTAACCTTGCAAATAAAATTATTAGCGTTGACTTAACACGATTCGATCGAAATATTTTACGAAATCGAAATCATCCAAAAGTAAATAGGCACGAGTTTTTTTATTTTGAAATATTTGTTTTATCTGGTGATCAACAAATATCTTCAAGTTATTACCCAGTTATTAGTTATTATGATGAAGAATATTATACACAAAATTATCTTAATGAACAAATTGAAAATTATCAATATGTTGAATATCTTACAGAAAAGTAAGTTATTTTTTGTACTCCTCTTTCGAGAAATCCTATATTAGTTATTCAAGTTAATCTCAATCAAAATATTCTTTTTGGATAGCCGATACATTGGTTAGAAACGTTATTGTAGTATTAAATGTCCCAGATGGGCTCCGTTTAAGTTTTTCACAATTTATACTGAACGGAAAAATCTTGAAACCCTACTAGATGGAATGAAAATTGGTGAAATTTTATTATAAAAATCGATGTACAATAATAGATAAATGTCACATGAACCCTAGAGGAGCATGGTGCGCTATAACACTTCAGGACATAGTTTGGAACAGAAGATTCGTCATCAGTTAGTGGAATATTTTCTCAATTGGTACTCTAATCAAGAAATCAAATCGAGATAGTACTGATTTACAACGCTCTCATTTGGAAACAAATAAAAGCTGAAGCGTGATAAGTTGTAAATCTGTTTGGCTCAAAAAATGATGCATTCATACCGACCATATTGTTCTATTTTTCTTGGATAGCTTCTCAGCATCTAATACTCCGCAAAGAAATATCTAATTAGCTGAGTCGCGTTACTAGATACATACGAATCTCTGTTTTTGTAGTGATTATTTATTCATACTAAACAGAGAATAGCTTACGGCCTGCTCTGACTAAGTACAAGCTTGAACTTTAATCCTAAGTGTTTTATCTTTTATCCTAATTTTTAAGATTATTGCTTCAAAGTAATGGTGATCACAAAATTTCTCAGAGAACACTCGCTCTGCTATGTATCGATATACAATAAAATAGTTGGTCTTAAAAGACCAACTAGGATGCACCGATTGATTGAATACCAGACAAACGAGTAAAATCCTTTGACAAGATGTAAACTGTAAGCAACAAAATCCTACTCAACATTTTAATTTCAAATAACAACAGAAGTGAGATCTATGTGAATTACATATATCTAGGAAGATATTATACTAATGCGATGAGTTATTCAGCTTATAGAAAGAAAAAAAGTATTATAGTATTTCTGTTTGTTTTACAGGGAAAAGGCTGAAGAAGAGAAATACAAAAATGAGCAAAAACAATATGAAGAAAAGCGAACAGAACTGATGTTGAAATATGAAAATATGTCACAAGAAAATATTGAAGAATTAATCAATAATTTAATGTCGATTCATGATTGTGAGTATTTAAATAAAATATGGATTTATCTTAAAGAATCAGGCCACACAGAAATCAATCTTAATGAATTGAATGAAAAATTGCTTAACTATTTTGATCAAGAAATTAAATTTATGTTAAATGGTTCAATATATCGTCCATTTATTGATGAAAAATGGTTTTATGATTTACTATTATCCTCAATTAATCAAAACAAATATTTAAATATATTTTTTCAACAAATAAAAAAATTTAATTCAAAATTAAAAGACAGAAGTCAATCAATATATATTCCATTTTTAGGAAGAATTATTCAACGTCTCATTAAAGAAAATGACCAATTGATTCAACCATCTAATCTAATTAATAATGAATTTATTTATAATTTATATTTATCATTAATATTAAGTAATGATTATAATACCGATGAAATTAATTTAAATTATATTATTGAAATAAATTCTTTAACAAACATTCCATTAACATTAAAACAATTATCACATTTAATTCAATCTTGTTTAATGGCAAAAAATTCAGCTATTTGTCAACAATTTCTTCAATATTTATCCAATATTCAAATAGTTGATGAAGAACAACAAAATTCAAAATCCACTATTGATTATATAATTCAATTTTTATCAATTCTTATTCGAACAAATGTTAACGATCTTGATGAAATTAATCGAAGAATTAAATTAAAAAAAGAAATTTTAATTAAAAATGGTGAAACTATATTTGATCTACGAGCAAAACTGACCATTAGAAAATCAAATGATCAAAAGAATGAAAATGTTCAACAAACCGTAAGGATATTTTTTTGACTTATTTTCTTCAGATTCAACTAAAAAAGAGACTTTTACCTAAATAAACCAGAAAATTATATTTCATCGAGAAAATTTTTGAACGCGTTTTTTTCAAAATATTTTTTATAGAAAGTTTCATGTAATTATGGATTCACTCTAGAAATGTTCAATGTTCTCCCCAAAACATCATGACATACGATTAAATACCGAGTATTGCTAATATCTTAATTTGAACATACATGAACTGTTTCCTCGTAGCATTAGAGAATTAAGTAAAACATGATGCAGAAATGTGCCTGTGTTTTTAACATTTCAATGTCGAAGCTATTGCACTGCAAGCTAGTTTAGAGAGATTTTAGAATTGCATCGGATTTAACAACACCATCAGTCGATGTGATGGGGAATGTTATGGATTCAATCTACGTGCACTAATAAAGCGCGGTAAAAACTAGATTTTGAAGGAATTTCTCGAGAACTATTATATCAATAGTAGATGCTTAGTCGCGATGAGTATCTCTGATTCATTCAGCAGAAAATATTTTATTTTCTTAACACTAACATTTCAAAAAATCTTTCTTAAACAATATTTATGTTCGTTGTTCATATTTCATTTAAGATCAATACTGGAAACAATGATGAAAAAGAAGATGACGAAGAAGAAGAAAAATGTCTTGAGCCAATATTTTGTTTTGAACATTATAAATATGAAAAAATTCCATCGCATAATTTTAATATTGGTGATTCTATTGCATTAATTGATCAAGAACAATTAGATGAATATTTAAATAAGCAAACTAGAACAGAAGAAAAGCCTCCGTTACGTTTATTTTATCAATCATTTGGAACAATTTTGAGTGTTCACCCATTATTATCAATTAAATTTACATTTTGGCCATTATCATTAACAAACAATAATTACCTCAATCGACAAAAATTATTTCGCTTAGAACGTCTTCCGAATTTTGTTACATTAAATCGGTCAATTGATGCTTTTGGAAAAATTATTGATAATAAAGATGTCTTATTGATTAAACCATTTTTAAATTTATCCGATGATATTAATAAAGATCAATTGAAAAATTACGCTCAAAAACAAATAAAAACTGTAGAAAATAATTTAAGCAACGATAACGAATATAATCATGCTGCATTAAATAATAGTCAACGACAGGCAATAAAGCATGCATTAGAAAATCGTTTAACGCTTATTCAAGGTCCACCTGGCACTGGAAAAACTGAAACATCAGCATGGATTATACATTTATGGTTAAAGACATTTTTTCGAGAAGGTCAGCCGATTCTGATTTGCGCAGAAACACATCAGGCAGTAGATAATTTAACACGACGTTTATTACAATATCAACAATATCGTTTAATTCGCTATGGTGAACCAAGAACTGTTGCTTCAGATCTACATGTTAATTAATTGTTTAAATACTCATTTGTTTATATTAATCTAAGAATGTTTTTGTTTTGCTTATAGAAATATACAATGCCAACACAAATTGAACTTTTACGTCGCGAAAAACAACGGTCAAATGTAAATCCCACAGAAAATAGAACTTTATTCGGACCAGGAAAACCAAAAGAAATACGTGAAATAATATCAAAATGTCAAATATTATGTATGACTTGTTCAGGTGTTGGAATATTGGAACCATCATTGAAATTTCCATTCATTCTAATCGATGAAGCATCGCAAGTAACTGAACCAAATATTCTTATACCCTTAGTTCGAATCACAGATCAAATTGTTCTGGTTGGTGATCAAAAACAAGTACGTTTTTTTAAAGCCGTTTCCTACTTTCAAAAGGTTATCTATTTCCTAGCTAATAGAAATCCAAAATTTATAGAAAATTACATACTAGAATTTTAGTCTATGACACAGTAAATAATGAAATGATATTTCGATGTGAGATTTTGTGAAACACGATCTGAAAGGAGTGTTGAAGTGTATAGGGTAGAAATGTCGGGGGGGGGGGGGGGGGGGGGGGGGGGGGGGGGGGGGGGGGGGGGGGGGGGGGGGGGGGGGGGGGGGGGGGGGGGGGGGGGGGGGGGGGG